GCCAAAGGGTTAAGGATGCCACAGCATGCTATTCAGAGGTTGTGTTATAGTCATAGAAACTGTTATTTGATTAATTAAAAAGCGAAATTATTGGTAGCAAAGTGTTTTACATAAATTAACTTTGATAAATACTGGTCGATATCTTAACTTTAATATCACTTTATATCGTCAACAAAAAAAAATATATGTATTTCAGTATATTTAATTTAATTAATTTAAATTATTTACAATGAAAATATCGAATTCGATTAGTATCGTTATAGAAAGTACTCTTGATATTGTCTCAATCAATATTTATCATCAATATTTTACAAAAACCTATTTAGTATTCTATAATTATCGTTAGAGGTATCAATCGTGACATTATCGTATTTTCGCTATTTATCGTTGTCGATAATAATCTTGTTTCAACATTGCAGTTAACTATCGTATATTTCATAGTTAAAGATGGTATTCACAAAATATCGTGAGAGAAAGTTTTAAAATGTCGATTTCGTGATATATCGCCCAATTCTAGTATTGATAATTCTAATTAAACAGGTACTGGAGCATTATTTTGTTTTTCGATCGTCACATAAAATTATGTTACATCAGACGCTATTTTTATAATTGTTGTAATAATCATTCATGTCATGACATGTTCCATACATGTTCATGTTATGTTAAGTTTTGTCTATTTTTAAACAGGGACAATTAGGAAAATGGCGCGAATATCAATATGCAGAAAAACCGCTTGTGATCTAATTTTTTAGCGTTAAATAAAATATATTACGTCAATGTTGTTTTGCCTGGACGCATAAAAATTTGCAAAAATTGAGTAAAACTGATTTTAATGACTTTCCTCTTGGTGAAAAAATATTGTTGAATTTGGGTTTTCGTTAAAGGAAAAAAAGTTTAATAAGCAGAATATTTTTTAATATTTTACCTACCAGTTCCGATCTAAAGCCTAGATAATAATTTACGATAAAATACTATAGTTAGTTAAAAATTACATCTTTGCGCTGAGACTAACTTACTTAAAATGTGACTTTTTTTAATATTTTTCTCAGTAAAAAGCTCTAAAGTACACCCAAAACCTTTTAGACTAAAAGCTATTTCTCTTTCTACAATAAAGAAATGTGAGAAAGACTTGTACTAAAAAAATGTAACACTTCAATAAACAGGAAGTAAAAAAAAAAAACTTAAAATTAACCTTAAAATATTTGTAACAAAATCACATTAACTATAAAATTCCATTTAACCTTTACAGACCGAAGTTCACGAATGCAGCCATTGAAGATGAAAGTTTCACGTGCAAGAATGAAAACGTTTCGACCATTACTTCCTTAGTTCTATGAACCTTGACAACCAGCAATCACATCAAATAATTTGTTACGAAAAGAACACGTTTCAAAAAACATTGTTCTGAAACATATTATTAGAAGAATGCTGAATCAATTAATGCCAGTTAAAGCACCAAAACAAAGACCAGAGGAGAAAGTAACGTGACAAATTGGAATAACTGTTAAACATTTATTCAAGCGTAATGGCTTTTAATAAAAATATGAGTTGCAATATTAGGAAAATAAATCGTCTTAAGCTTCTGTGATTAAAATTCGTTTTTTTATTTTCTGAAAAATCAATCGAGCGAAATTAATAAACAAATAAACGATCTCATTTTCCTTATAATCGTAATCGTATGATTATCCTTCCGCTGAAATGTACATCATGCACATCTTTTACGGTCAAGTTAATTTCAACCGTAGATAATACTAGTAATGTTTTTTTTTCTTCTTTTACAAAAAAAAAATTTAAGAAATAATATTTATACATTTAAAAGAAATAATGTAAATTTGCCTCTCAAATTTTGAATAAATAACAAAGGACGGATGAAAAATCCGTTAGAATCAAGAAATAAAATTTCTTTAAAGCTTTTCAAATTGAAGAAAAAACGATTTTTTTTTCAAACGATTTTAATAATTAAAAATGTATTCATTCTTGAGTTACATTAAGGTTATTTTATGTGTATTTCTAAAATGGGTGAGGACTTTTATTCGCTCCAAGTTTCAGTTAATTGAGTCACGATATTATAAATTGATATGATAAATTGATATTATTTGTATAAATTACCTATGCAGCACTTAATAAATGCTGTCAGTACTAGCACAACATGAGATGTGGGATTACTATTTGTGCCATTAATTATTTATCTTTCCGATATTATCTGTTCTAATTTAGTAAATTGAGTTGAATGTGGAATTTACCAGGACAAAATCCAAATAGAACGACAGCCAAGTTGTGAGAGAAAAATGTAATGATTTCAAAGAGCTCGTTACCTTCAAATTGTTCACAATCGCAAAACATTAGCATATTAAAATAAAATAAAAAATAAAATATTGCAGAAGCATCATGTTTTTGGTTATTTTGGGATCTTTTACATCAAAAATAACTTTACACATTTTTAGTACTTTCTGCAATTAAGAAAGGATTTTCAATGATAAAGAGAATTTAATATCTTACGCAAATATTGCTCACAATCCTTCTTCTTTGACAATACGTTTAAATAAATTCCTCCTCGGCGATTACATAATATTTGTGTTTCCAACCCGTTAAAAGTTTCTTAAGGAGACAGAGGCGAAAAATCTGTTAGTGAATTTCAAAATAATAACCCATAGGTAGCATCAGTGCAGAGTAACTCGTATGTTATGTTGCAGCGTTTGGTAAGAGAAATTTTTAAGGTTCTGTGGTGAGAGAAGAAAAAAGGTAATTAGTGTAAAGGGGCCTCTTTATATGCACGTGAAACAAATGGAACCTGAACCGGGAAAATTTACAGGAGAGTCCCTCTTTTAATACCGTAACCAGAGGTAACGAGAAGGTAAACTGCTCAAATGTTTTGTCTAATGTCTTTTAATACAGCGGTTAAATTTATCAAGAAAAATTGATTTATAGAATATGTATCATGAATGAAATTCTCATTATGAAAGTAGTTATTGAATATTATGAATGAAATTTTATTTATAAATAACGTCCACGTATTTCGTTGCGTGCATTCGTGACGATTTAAAAAAATCATAAGAAATAAGGGAAATGGAGAATTTTTTGTATTATTATTTTCTTTCGTATTATTATTATTTTGTATTACTTTCGTATTATTTTGTATTATTATTTTCTACAATCTCCCAAAAATGTCTTATCATGTGAAAGGTATTTACTTTGTTGCTTTTAAAAATTTAGAAAAAAATAAAACACCTAAATTCTATACAAAATTTAACGACTTTACAAAAAACTTAAGTGCTAACGAAAACGTTTAAGCATTAATAAAATAAAATAAAAAAGAAAATCATGATAAAATTGAAATTATGGCTAAGAAATTTTTGTGTAACGCAAATACAGTTAGAATAATAATAATAAGAAAAGTTTCATTTAACAAATAATGCTAATTTTACCTCCTATTATTTAAAATACAAATTTTGTAATAAAAAAAAATAAATTAAAGACATTTTTTTAAAAATAAAATAACCTTTCAAATATGAAAGGAGGCCGCAATCTGGGAAATATTTCATCAAAGGAGTGAAAAGAGCGGACAAAAAACTTTTTTTACTTATAGAGTTTTTAACCATGTCTCTGAAACAAAGAGCTCAAATTAAAATATTTTACATGCAATTATATAACTGGTTTACCCATCTAAAATTCCCTTTCATTAAAAAAAACACAATTATTTTAAATTATTGTAATATTTTTATAGCTGTCTCTTATACTCTGAGTTCTAATAAGATCGTCAACTTCCAAGAAGTCCGGCAAACAAATTGAGTTGAGATGAAATTCTCCGGAGAGAGGCCCAAGCAATCTAAAATGTGCTCGTCAGATTTACTAATTATTACGTATTATATTTCCTAACTTATTTTAACAATGATGAGAAAATCTTTTGAGATATGAGGCAAATAAGTTTTCGTGCCATTTTGAATAACAGAACCCATTAATTGAAGAAAAAAAAATGAGTCCAATAGTTCTTGCGAATTCAAAATTTAAAAAGAGCTTTAATTTATAATACAAAAAATTAGAATAATTTAATGATTAAGAAATATTTGAACTTTTTTTTATTTATTTATTTTGTGTGTGCGCACACCATGTCTCCAACATATAACTTTGAGATACTTAAAAGTGAGGAATACACGAATACAAATGCTATATACCATTTATTAGATCAAAATTAAACATGCAACAATAATAGAAGAAAGATAAAAACTATTATATTGATAAATTTACATATTTTGGATACATATTTAACTAATTGTAATTGTTAATTCTGTAAAACTATGGAGAGAATGAAGGATTTCTTTGAATTGAAGAGTTAAGGGCAATTAATTGAAAAGACACTTGTCTTTCAAAAATGAAATTTGCACAATTAATATGCTATTTGTAAAAAATGTTTTTCGTATTGTTTACAGATAGGTACTTCCACTAAATAACAGCACAGCACAAAGAAACATCCTATTCACTCATGAAAATCGTGGTTTTTCATCAAATTGTACTTAATATAAGTTGTTTTTTTATCACAATGAAAAAATGTTGCTCAATATTATGCCTCTCCTTAATTATACAAATGAAAAACACAAATTTTTCATGAAGGGTTGTAACTCCCAGAAGACGAGGTAACGTAACTGAACTTTACCTATAAAATGTGTTCATATTTAAAGAATTTGTGGTAGAGTTAATTCTGCTGCTCATAATGATAGCACTTTTAGAACTAATCTGAAAGTACGATTACATGATTCCACGAAAGTATGATCTGAAAGTACGAAAAACAATATAATTACCCCTTTATAACTGGACCACTTGTCGAAGTGGACCCTCAAATTGCCAAATAAGCGTTCAATTTACAAACTTTTTTACGTGTTTGTTTACGAAAATGTATATTAATTTTCCCTCATGCTCCAATTTTTGTGTGATTCAATCACAAGAAAAGGGGGCCCTTCAAACTAAAATAGGGAAGAATTGTAAAAAAAAAAGACAAAACTTACCTCCCAACTTGGCCTGGACGTATTGTTATCCTCAGGCCAACATAAATCTTCGGACATGCTGGAAATTGTTAACCAATTCGCACGCCGGGGATCGGACACAGATTCTGTCAACATGATGCTTTTCTTTCACTGTTTTTCAATTTTGCATCATAAAAAAATCACAGTTGGAAAAGGTGGGAAATATCGAAATAGCGGTAAAAGCCATTCAAGGTGAAACTCGCCGGGCGATGCACCTTCTTTGAAAAAGACCTAATCGTTCCTTCCAATGAAGCGTTTGGTTATGTTTTGGTTGTCCCTGTCCGCAACATTTCGAAGTTGACAGGTGCTCTTCACAGGGTTGCCGAGTCGAAATGTTCGCCAAGTCTGTGTAGCCAAGCGATGAGAGAAGATTTTGTAACTAAAGAGAATTTATTTACAGTCAATATGTAATACAAAAAATGAAATCACGCGTGTGGCTAAAACATGTTTGTTATAGTACACATTTTGGCTGTTACGCTATCTTCAGAGAGATAAACTTTAATGTTTGCGCTTTTCGTAAAATTTTATGTTTTTGCGTCAAAAATAATATTATTACTTCCTTATTGTTTTTAATTTTATGTCCTTTTTATAATTGAAATTATCTGAAATTATTTATTTATAATGAATTTTTCTTGCAGTAACAATTCAATTTTACTAATCATTAATTACATGAAGACTATCAATTTAATTAAAAAAATCTATTTAAAAAAATATACGTTTAATTTTCTAAAATAAAATAAATAATAATAAATGTAAAATAATAATAATATAAAAAATAATAATAAATGTAAATATTAAATTGGAACAATATTTATTAATAACGATTAATAGCTAAATATACATTAATTATATTATTAAATTAATTATATTATTAAATTAATTATATTATTAAATTAATTATATTATTAAATTATTAAATTAATTATACTATTTAAATTAATTATAAATTTATCAATTATATATATAAATGATAAAAAATAAGGATTAATAAATATTTTATTAACGATAATCATTGCTGAAAATTTCATTGAATATTTAGTAGATCGAAAGAAATTATAAAAGATTTTATTTTACGTGCAAAATGTAAAAAAATATTTTAAGTGTGTACAGTTAAACCTCAAGGGTGCAGCCACTCTCCGTTCTACAGCAAAATGGTTGATGGAGGTTGGTCGTATTTAGAGGTTACCTCCATTGACTGCAAAATTGCTATCGAAGGTACATGATTCAGGTTTAAATGGTCACTCCCAAAGGTTTCTTTCAACCTATTTCAAGTCTATGGAAAAAATTCCATGCCTCCCAAAATTAGGAAGAAAAAAAAATCCAAAAATCAAAAATCCATGTTTAGCAAAAAGTCCAAAGGAATTTTCTAAACATTGTCTTTTGTCATTAATATTTTACCATTACCTAAAATTTCCAATGCGAGCAAGCACACACACACACCAAATTACAACAATTCTTATGAAATTGAAATGTTTCATGTAAAAATTAGGATTCGTTTTTTTAATATAGTTGAATAAAAATGATTCCTCTTTAATTTTAAGAGGGTGAGACAAAAATATTACCATGCATTTAATTATCTCACCTAATATTGTCTGGCAAAATAAAAAAATAAATAAAAATAATTCACTAAAGTACGAATCTATTAGGTACTTCCATGTTCGTTATTCTCTGGCTAGAGAGAGAGGGGGGGGAGGAAAGTATGCAACCTTCAATAATTCAAGATTTCTTAAAAATCCTCCCTCTCCTATAAATCAGATAATGAAAAGAAAAATGAATCACCATAAATATAAATTCAGCTAAATTACAAACATGCTCAGAAATAAAATCAACTAATATTTTTGCAAATGGAAGAAGAAAAAAATTACAGACGGAAGAAAATCTTTTAGAAAAATTTTTTTATCTGCGAAATTTTGAGAACTGCTAAAACTGAGTGATTCAAAAAAAAAAATCCTGAACATCAGCAATGCCCTGTTTAGGTTTGATAATATCATTTATGATTTTTTAACTAATGAAGAAAAAATAATTATCTAGAAGCTGCTTCCCCCCCTTTTTTTTAAGATTTCTATGTTATTGCTATATATATTTGCTATTTTTAGGCTTCTAAATGGTTTAGAGCAGTGGTCGCCAACTTACGGCCAGAGGGTCGCATCCGGCCCGAAAAGCCTTTTTTTGTGGCCCGCAAACTAAAATATATTAGTTGTCATTTTTCTGCGGACAATTTTCGTAAAAAATCTATATGGGTTTAAAATACTTTTCTTTCGTTAAAAAAAGCATATTTTCTTCGTTTCTGTGAAATCTCACATACCAACAGTGCAAAAAAAAAAAAAAAAAAATTTCTCACGTTTTGCATCCGAGAAAATATTTATTGAAATACAAGAATAATCGTGTATGTCGCCCCTTTTTATTTCGTTTTTTTTTTTTTTTTTTTTTTTTTTTTTTTTTTTTTTTTTTTTTGTATTTTGTGAATATAATTTATCATGTGCGTATCAGAAATTTCTCGAAGTAATTCTCCGATTTAACTTTTTGAAATCATTCATTTTGGACGAAATTATTTACATTTGTAAATTTTAAAACGCATAAAGGAGGTAATGAATGTCATGTTTCATTTAAATTATTTGAATTGAATATGGCCTGAGCGGAAGAGAAAAAAAAATTATTTTCAGATGCTCGAGATTTTTTTTTCCTGCTATAATTCCTAATAAGTCGAAAAAAATGTTAATTTATCACAGAGTTAGATTTTAAAAAAAATATCTTGTCAATAAGTTTCTGATTAAGAGAAGATTCAAAATGATACGTAATTGCATTATTTGTAATGCTTGTTATTTTGTTTTATAATATTAAAGAAACTTTATATTTAAAAGCAAAATGTAATTCTTATTTTATTAAGTTTCCATTCGAATGCAAGTACACTTCCTCGGTCCCTGTTGCAGGTGCCAATGAGTGTCAGCTGCGTTACCTATCTGTTGACATTAATTGTTTAATACATAGGTGCACATTAAAGTTATGGTAACCAGAATTTTTTAATATGCAATTAAATATTTTCAAAAATCTACTTGTTATTTTAATTTATGATACAATACTTTTGTTTTGTGCAACTTGATAAAAATATGACAGTAATATTTAATGTTCCTTCAAACAAAAAAGAGTCCTACATAAAATTTTGATAAAGTTTCGGCCCGCAGTTTGATTGGTGTTTCTAATTGCTGCCCCCGGCCTTATGTAAGTTGAAAATCCCTGGTTTAGAGGACTATTTTAAGTATTTTAAAGCAGTTTTAACGTTATTAGATGCAAATAACGATCTAGGACATTTGTATTTCAAAAATAAATTCTGTAAGTTCTAATTGGTTCTGATCGCCCTTTTTGCATCATTTAAAAAATATTTTTTTCTTACATGAAATGTCATTAAATGTTTGACACTGAAATATTATGGAATGTCTGTCATATTTGATATATTCAGGTGTAGTTTTTTGCTCTTGTAATAAAGCTATAAGCATCTGACGTTATTTCACTTATAGTAACTACGCATTATTTTATGATCATGCTGCGTACATATTACATATGACTCGCAATTTAGTGCAGTTGGAAGAAAAGACGTCTTTCGAAAGAAAATTTCCTAACTTGGTGATAATAAGCTTATTTTAATTCCCATCTATTTTTTTCTCCTTGAATGGCTTGTTGTATAATGTGTTTTCTTTTTTTTTTTTTAGTCGTTGATTCAGGTGTCTGCAAGAATGTAACTTATTTGTACCTTTATAAGCTCGTTGCTTAACTTATTTAACACCTCCACATCGTGGTGGCAGACTAAATTTAGTTTGCTCGATGCAGGCGAGAATGTGATACAAGCACGTAGCTTGGGTCTCGAAATGTCAACTTTAGCATAAGCAAATTAAGGAAAATCCATCTCATGATTAACTTAATATTTATAATTTTTACATTAAAACCATACATTTAAGTAGTATACAAATCAATGACCTGCAATGAAAAACTTTAAAAATAAAAATTTGGTGGCAATTTCAAATTTTAATTGCATGGGAAAATGTAATTACTGTTTGTTCACTTAGCCACTTTAAAAAGAAACATAATGTAAATATTTGATTTTTTCCTTGTTGTTGTTACCGTCGGCCAATAAGGCAGAGGGAGTGCGATTGTTCTTGTTTTCCAGTGGTGCCACCTATGGCCAAGAATTTGACTTCTGCCACACCCATACGTCACATCCGCTTATAGGGCGCGGACCCATTCATACATCCATACATTCATCCACACATAGTAATTTTGACCTGAACCAGAACACGATCAATCTCCAATTCAATACACTCAGAGGTATTGATTTGTTATGGGAACATGGAGGACTTTGTGACCCCAGCAGATTTAATGTGCACCAGTCACTATTTACTGCACGAGGAGTCTCACGAACGTGAGTACAGCGCCCTGCCAACCAGGCTTTCCGATCTGATTTTTTCCCTACAAATCAATAATTAATAAAAAAAAAATGAAGGAAAATATTTTAAATACTAGGTAGCTGAAAATTTAATACATATTTTTATATTAGAAGTTATGTAGTTATATATTAAGAAAAGTATCTATTCGGAGACATCCGGTGCCTTTTCTTCACACACAGTATGTCGGTATGCATAGGTGTGAGTATGAAAAAAAAAATATTTTTCGAAAAAAAGAACGTTTTTTTTTCTTCTGAAAATGGTTTGTTTATTTTAAGTTAAAAAAAAAAAAAACTTGCATTTTATGCTATGAATTTATACATTTTTCAACAAATCCCCTCTTAAAAGATAACTGTTATAAAAAAAAAGATATTAAAGAAAAAACATTAAATTTAATAGTAAATTTTCTGCATTTCACAAAGAATTAAAAGCTTTTGTTTCGGCAATATTTAGAAACTCGTCTTGTAGGACTCAGGACCGTTTCAATTCGAAGGACACTTCGTTAAACAATGGTTAGTTTATTTTTTAAGTTTTTATATCATGTTTATCAGTTTCTAGAAAAAAAGGGAAGATGTCTTACTTGATAACAAGGAATTAATCTAACTAAAATGCTATTTTACTCGGTTTTTAAAATTATTTTTTTAGTTTTATTCCTTCCATTTATACACTCCATAGAAGTAAATATAAAAATCTTTTCTTCTATGAATTATATTCCATTTAATTTTTAAGCTCAGATAGACTGAAAAAACTGGTGAGAGTTTCGCCAGTAAAACCAACAAAATGTGAATCGTTATTCGTTTTTGCGTCTATTTTTTCTCGCCAATCATGGTAACCCAACCGGGCAGGTTGGCGCCCAAGTTATAA